AGCAAATCCCCAAATTACGTTGGCCCTACAGCCCTGCTTATATGGAGAAGTGGCCTGGGAAAGAAAACATTTTCTGTACTAATTTGTCTGACTCACTTTCCCCAGTATGACTGAGAATAGACAGCACAGGGACAGGTTTGAGCAAATACAACTTTATTTATTCACCTTGGAGTACAGGTATCAACACCCATGCAGAAAGCACCCCTTTGTTCATTCCCTCCCCACCCATTTCAGAAAAATAGCTGTATGTTCTTTCGGAGTAACCAAACATCATTAACACATCTAAAAAATGGCGTCGGCCACCATTTGGATTTTGCTCCTATTTTTCATGTAAACTACAAAGCATTTCCTATTTGTCCAACATATCCACTTGCATGAAAACATCACAGGGGTGATGTGTTCAACAACTACTTAGAAGGGAACTGTTTCATTGGGTCTCATTTCTTTCTTATCTGCTAGTTTCTGGCCCGTTTTATTCTGAAGAGAAAAAAAGATATATTAACATATTAAAGCAGTGGTTCTCAACCTTCCTAATGCGGTGACCCTTTAATACAGTTCCTCATGTTGTGGTGACCCCCAACCATAAAATTATTTTCGTTGCTACTTAACTGTAATTTTGCTATTGTTATGAATCATAATGTAAATATCTGATATGCAGGATATATTTTCATTGTGACAAATTGAACATAATTAAAGCACAGTGATTAATCACAAAAACAATATGTAATTATTTATGTGTTTTCCGATGGTCTTAGGCGACCCCTGTGAAAGGGTCGTTTGGCCCCCAAAGGGGTCGAGACCCACAGGTTGAGAACTGCTGCATTAAAGGCTAAGCAACTTAGGTCAGGCTGGCCTGTGTTTATGGAAAATAAATCATTAACTACTGCATTAAGTATTCAATCCTAACTATCACAATGGTGGGGGGGGGGGGAGGCAGGGATAGGGAGATGTCCATTATTAATTTAAAATTTAGTTTTGTATATTTTTCCTTGTGTGTGTTGCCAAGTTCCTGGAGTAAGAAATGTGAGAAAAGCCCCATCTCCCAGGACAAGTTAGGGAACCAGGCCTTGGGACAGGTACTTGCTGAAGAAGCGGAATAGATGTTCTTGGGAGAGCCTCCCCCATAACCCGCATCCACCGTCATGCCTTCTCTACACACAGGTGTTTGCACGTGTTTTGTCCTCTTGTTCTTTGCAACCACCTTTTTGGCCCATAAAGTTGGGAACATTCGGGAGGAAGAGGTATTTCCGCTACAATGCAATACATAAATTATTTAAAAAGAAAGCACCAAGAGAAAACCAAGAAACAAAATCTTGTGTCATGAAAATTACACATAAAAATTAACAGGAGCAGAGAGGTTGGGGCTTCAAACTCCAACCAACTTTATAACTACAGTGTGAAAAAAATATGTGGATGTTTAACGATGTACAAACACAAGACTGAAGGCCGGCCGGCGTGGCTCCGTGGTTGAGCATCGACTTACAAACCAGGAGGTCATTGGTTCGATTCCTTGTCAGGGCACATGCCTGGGTGGCGGGCTTGATCTCCACTCGGGGGCATGCAGGAGGCAGCCCATCAATGATTCTCTCTCATCATTGATGTTTCTCTCTCTCTCCCTTCCTCTCTGAAATCAATACAAATAAAAAATAATAAAAACAAGAAGAGTGCAAATGCTGGCGAATTTAACTCGAGAAGCATGGAGGACAAGGCAGCTGGAAGCCAGCTCTGCACCAGGGGGCCTGCCAGTCAGGAGGGTCCGGGGGAGCTGAGCCTGTAAGGTCAGCACCACCCCCTCTGGAAAGGCGTAGGCACTCATTTCTCATTTGCAGTTAAACTAAGCAAACCAAGCTCTTCTTCCCTCTGACGACGGATTCCCCTCACACTCTTCCAGCTCCTCTCGCCTGGGTAGCATCCCCCCGGAACTAACCTGACGTGTACAGCATCCTGACATCATCCTCTATGCACCCATCCTGGATGAGCCATATCCTGCGACAGAGGCATGCGTGGTCGCCGAGGACGCTCCACAGATGTGCTTCAGCACCCCCGAGGCTGGGCTCCCGGGCCAGGGCCACTGGCTGGACAGCCATGGCACACACAAGGTAAGGGAGGCAGAGAATACAGGTTTTTTTTAAAACTTTATTACACAGTAAAGAATACAACAATACCTGAATCATACTTTAAAGATTCACAGGTTGACAGACCATACATTACAGTCCAACTAAGGAAAAAAGGATAAACAAGAAACCACAGTTCAGACATAGTAGACTTAAAAGCTCAAGAGTATGCTGACAAAAGCATGATGCCTAGACCCCACCCCCCAGTGTTAGTCTACCATTAACTTGTGGTACATGTCTGAATTAAGTATTGCACAACAACTTTAATTTTTTCACAAGAATGTCGCAGAACCCAAAATCATATTTAAAAAAAAAGTTACTTCAAATCTGCATTTCAACAGTCTCCAATTTTTTTTTTCTTCTGTCCCTTGAGGAATTCGGACAACACGGAGTCACTTTCTTTCCCTAAGTATTCCAGACATAGGCATGCTTTGCATAAGTAAACCAGCCTTGAAATTTTTAAATCCCCAAGACATGCACCTACACGTTTAAAAAAAAAAAGTTAGGAAAAAAAGAAATTTAAAAGACAGGTCGCCCTGTCACACACAGTCTCATGACAGAGAAAAAGAAAAAAAAGAGTCAGAGACAGAAATAAGAGATAGAGGACGCCCTATTTCTATCTGCGACCACCATTCAATTCTATCCAAGGAAGATAACTTTTTAAAAATGCATTATACCTACAAATTATACTCTCACGTGGCCTGTACATACGTGACAAGCAGGAAAGGAAAGTAAGGAAAGTTTTTTTCTTTTCTTTCTCTTCTTTAGGTTTATGAGGTCTGCATTGTTACCAAGGAGTGATATGGTTTGCAGCTGTATGAGCTTAACTTTTGGTATCCTGGTTCTTTTGTGCCCATTTGGTTTGTCTAGTCGACCAGTTTTTTGTTAGCTACTGGTGCAATATACATGCTGTCAAGAGGTAGAGTGAAACTTTTTGCCACTGAGGAGAATGTAGCAAAACAGGAAGAGGAAGAGGAGGAGGAGGAAGAGGGAGAGAAGGAAGAGGAGTCAGAGATAGAGCTCAGAGTTAGGGATTTTTTTTTTTTCTTATTTGTTTTCACTCAGGGTGCCCTGAATTAAAAGTGATGAGACGTACTGTTACTAATCCTTATTTTTACACACGAGTGTTAAGATAACAGTGCTGTTTCACATACATCACAGCTTCTAGAGATAATGACCTGTGGGTATGACATACCTCATTTTTTTTTGGAGGGGGGCGGGGGAATTATTTAACCCTTCGTAGCCTAGAACATATAATAGCTCTGTAAGAAAGGACCGTCCAGTGTCATAAGCAGACTAGAAAGCAGAGTGAGGTCAAAGGATTCTGGGAGCACCATGATAAAAGATCACCCATTCAGAGCCTGGTTATGTGCTTTCTTTCCCTTTAAGCAGGTGTGCTGGCAGATGGACTTCCGACATGCAGATAGATGTATATATTTGCTCATCAGAACTTTCTACACTAAAAAGCCATTAAAAACAAACAAACAAACAAACAAACACAAAAACAACAGCCAAACAAAAGTAAAGCCAACTTGAATAGGAAAATAACAGGGGTGGGGGGAATGCTAAAAAAAAAAGTTTAGGTTTAGAGGACGTAAAGCAAACAGATTTAGGATAGCCTCTATGCAGATACTGAAAAGCCCTTTAAAATGGTATTCAAGGGCTACATGAAAAACAAAACACACACACACACACACACACACACACACACACACACAAACCCTAATGGATCACTTTAGATTTTTAAGTCAATGCCTGGTGTGCGTATGTGCGTGGAGAAGGGTCTTCCCAGCCTCGAAAACTTTGGTTGTTTACACAGCCTGCAGCACTGCTCCCCCCTGAAGCACACAACCACATCCTGGGCTACTGGTTTCAAAACTAACAAGTAGTTCTGGTCTGGACCCTGGACAAGGAAGGGTTCATGGATTCACACGAGACCTTGCTGAACACAGTTAACCTGCTGAGCAATTGGAAAGTAGTCCTGGTGCTTTTCAAGATGCGGCTTTTGGTCCATCAGATCAGTCTTTGGCTGACTTCCCTTTTGTAAGAAAACTGTAACCTGGCATTCAGCACTTAAAGCTGTCAGTCTACACCTCAGCATTTGGAGCTCTAATGATTTAACATTTTATTTTATTTTTTTTGTAAAATTAGAAATACTTAAACAACCTTACAGCAATATACATGCACTGTCTTTTTTTTAAAGTAGATTATCTTGTTATTTTTTTTTTTAAAAAAAAGTCCCAATAATGATTTTTCAACAAAAAACAAAAAAAGGAAAAAATCCACTACTACTCTATGCTACAGCTAAACTTGGTGAAATGGCTCTAGCATATTCGAAAAGTTTGCTTAAAAAAAAAAAAGCATGCCTAGGGAGTCATGTGACAGTGCAAAATACATTTATGTACATTCCCTCTTACAAAAACACCAAGGTTAGCATTCCATGAACATGCTGGTTTTCAGGAAAAAAAATCCTAGAAGAGAGTGAAATAGCAGCTCCGAAAGATTTTTTTTCTTTGCTTTTTTCTTTTCTTGAGGACAACCAAAAAAAGTCTTTTCCCCACCCCCCGAACTACTAGAGAAATATCACTAATACATATAGATATAAAAGCAGCATAGAAAGATACAGGTTTCTCATCAACTAGGAATAAAGAGACTAAATGTGGGCGTATGGTTAAACTACAATGCATCTTCACATTTGTCCAACACATTTACAAGAAAAACACCATTGGAAACCTCACAGGACAGAAGTGTTTCCACACGAAGAGAACTACTCGTCTTTAATTAAAAAATCTAAACAGGGCAGGGCTGAAAATTTGGAAAGGGGCTGGAGCTGGAGCCACCATTTTTTAAAAAGTATTTTTCAATATAAAAATGAATGAGCTGGAACGGACCCAGTGTCTTGTTCTGTGGAATCTCGAAAAAGTGAATAAACGTGGAATGGGTTAGTTAGGGCAGCCGGCTGATGTCAGAGCTGCCAGAATGCTAATTAACTGCAGGCTGAATCTCTTAACGTGTGTGTGTGTGTGTGTGTGTGTGTGTGTGTGTGTGTGTGTGTAAAGGAGCTTTTTGTATTAGGGCTTTTTTTTTTTTTTTCTCTTGCTGCTGTATCCATACATCCCACTGCAAATCAGCTTTCATTTTTCATTCTGTTGACCTGGATATTATTTCTTTTCAGAAACTGGGGGGTGGGAGGGGAAAACGAACATCTGTTTCTCCTTCCAATATGCTGCACATATGTGTGTTTTGTAGCGGGTCTTCAGAGTTCAGTTAGCAACCCATGGATGCCATTCATCTTCTTGTTAAAACGTCTACCACTGTAGCCAATGCTCATGCCCTGGAGGGTTTTCCTCTTTTTTTTTTCCTTCTTTTCCCCCCCATTATTGTATATCAGGAACACTGTGTCTTAATCTTAGCATTTTGCTTTCAACAGCAATTAGCAATCTCTTGGTTTGCTGTTTGGTAAAGCATCGGTTAATGAGGTCATCTAGTTTAAAATCCCAGCTACTGGCGAATAACAGGGAGGAGGTCAAATCTATCATTTCATGTTATATTCTCTGCTCTCTTTTCAGTTCTCTAAGGAGGAGATTCTCTTTGTTATCCACAATAAGTCCTGACGACCCGTGACTGGCCCTCTGTCTTCCTACCGGGGAGGTTTCTCTCTTGCTCAAGGACTGCAATAGGAAAGTTCACCTACACACAAACAAACAAACAAAAAGAACTTCGAGCGTCTGAGGATGAAGAATTGGTTTCGTGTTGGTTGTGTTGTGTTTCCTTGGACAGTTCGGAGTTCACATCTAGCGAGGGGTTGTCTCTATGGTGGACGGGGTCCCCGGGGTGGTTGACCTCGGGGTGGCTGCTGGTGGGGTGTCCATCGGGCTCCCGGCCCCGCTGCTGGGCGTGACCGAGGAGCTGACGGCGGGCGTGTCCCCCTGCGGCTGGGCCTGCAGGGTCTGTCCACAGATGTGGTGGTGCTTTTCCCAGTCTTTGTGCTGGCAAAACGAGCCGCAGTATCGAGCCGTGTTGCAGCCGCTGCAGGTCTCACTCGCTTTACGGCCACAGTTCCAGCAACTCTAAGGGAGAAGGCAAAACAAAGCAGAATCCCAAATGAATCCACTGTCCAAACCAAAGTCTGGGGGACTGTGCTGGACAGCACTGCCCCCTTTTCTTTTTTTTTAAATACATTTTTATTGGTTTCGGAGAGGAAAGGAGAGGGAGAGAGAGAAACATCAATGATGAGAGAGAATCATTGACCGGCTGCCTCCTGCACGCCCCCTACTGGGGATTGAGCCTGCAACCCAGGCATGTGCCCTTGACCGGAATCGAACCCGAGCCGACATTCTATCCACTGAGCCAAACCAGCTAGGGCCTGCCGCCTTATTTTCAAGAACTCTGTGGTAAGAATGAAAACTCCAGGGGTATCTGTGTATACACACTAAACACACAGAGATGCAGGTTTTGGTGTGATGGCTGCCCAAACTTCTCTGCCAACAACTCTTGTGACATCTCACACACTGGCTGGAGCTGCTTTCTGCCCTAACTGCAAAGTCCCTTCCTTTTAGGTTTGCTGTATCTACCGCATTTTCCCACCTAATACCAGTACCGCCATGGTCGCACACAAATATATCGCTCTTGGCAGAGGCATCTTCCTTCCAGATAGAACAGAAATTACAAAGGGCCAACAAGAACCCTATATGAGACTCAAAGAAATGTAACGAAGATAGAGTATGCTATTCCCGGCTCTATCAGACAGAGATTGAGATAAGACCCTTTAACCTCTCCATGCATTTAGTTGTTCCCACTGCACCCAGTCAGTGTATCTGATAAGCAAACTCAAACAGTTTGGTTTGCTTGTTCTCTAAGCACCCAGAACAGTGCCTGATATATATAGCAGGTGCTCAATAAATATTTGAATGAATCTGAGTATACTTCATTTGACTTTGAAAAACTAGAGATACTAAAACTTCATAAATAATAAGGCATGTTATTTACACACAATGCATTGCAGTTGATGGAGTTCCTTCTAGCTTAGACTCTGTGTAGTCAGAAAAGTGGAGGAAACAAAAAACTTAGACCTTAGCAAGCCCGATGCTAACAGTCAGTGCTTTTAAGAAGTGAAATAAGCTCAAATGAGGTTGCCTCTGAGATTTAAACTTTGAAATAGACGCATCACGAATCAGAGCACAACGTATTAGAGACGGAAGAGCATCTGCATAGGACAGATCGCAGGGAAGAACGGAGATTTGGGGAGGAGCTAAAAGGTAAGTCCCTCAGGCACCCTAGGAGGAGGTGAAACCTCAGGAAGCCCACTTTAAATTTCCTACCGTAGTTCCTTTGGCAAGACCAACCCCATTGCAAATGCGATAAAAGGGGATCTTAGCCTTGTGCAGTCATCTGTTTTTCTTCATCTTCCTTGGTTTTGGTTATTTTCTTGCAAAACAAACTTCTGTTGAGCGCCATGTAAGGATCTTTAGTGTGAAGTTAAGTTGTGTGACCTTCTGTAGAGTTCTTTTACTTTGGGGAATGGCTGTGTCACAATTAAAATGCATTTTTTTAAAAAAGTCCTAATATATATGAATATTAAAAACCTCTCCACTGTGTGCCCTGCACTTGTTTTACTTGAAGCATGCTGGTTGTGTGGCTTCTAGTGGGCTCGTGAGCCTACTTTGAATATCCCAGTGGAAGGTCAGCCCGTCACCCTAATATGTGCGGCTTTACCACCGTGCAAAACATGCAGAGAAATGTTTAGCAGTCCTCCTAACTTTGCTAGGAAATAAAGGGCCTTCTGGAGTTTCACGTGTTTAAAGCCTAGGAACTCCAGAACTCAACTTTAAAACTTCTAGAAAGAGCTCAGCTCTACATTCTTATTTCTTTATTATTCAGAAATTATGGCCCCAGGAAGGGGGAAAATAAAATCCAGAAAAACCTCAAGATCTCAAACGCTGGTCCATGGGAGGTGTTTTAAAGGAACATTCCTGAGGAAATACATGTTCACATCATGAAATAAAATAAAATTACAATTAACCATCAGTACTGGCACAAATTTTTTTTTTCTACTTTAATTTAACCAGGAAAATAACTCAAAAGATGTGTACTTGTGATCTGAGGTTTCATTGCAAAACTTGAAGCCCTTCTTCTTCAAAATTAATTCCATTGCATTTGCATGTACAAATGACCCCGTAAAGTGGTGAACAAACGTGGGCCTGGTCCTTAGGAGCCGTGAGGTCTGACACGGCACTCAGAGTGAAGTTTACTCCCTGGAAGTTTAGTCACTTTTTTAAAAAATATATATGTTTTATTGATTTTTTACATAGAGGAAGGGAGAGGGATAGAGAGTTAGAAACGTTGATGGGAGAGAAACATCGATCAGCTGCCTCCTGCACACCTCCTACTGGGGATGTGCCCGCAACCCAGGTACATGTCCTTGACCGGAATCGAACCTGGGACCTTTCAGTCCACAGGCCAACGCTCTATCCACTGAGCCAAACCGGTTAGGGGAGTTTAGTCACTTTTAGAAGAATGCCAGGTGGATGCTGGAACAAACGCAGCAAATACTTGAAATTACTAAATGACAGCAGAAAATTCCAATTAGAGAACAGAGACTCAGATCCAAAACAATATTTTAAGGAAATTAAATATCTAAGTCGAGTGGCTTCTTTAAAATACACCCTGGTGTGAGGGTATTCTTCTCTGGCAGAGGCACATTTTGGCAGACACAACAGTGGTAACTGCCCGGGACTCAACGCAGCCGTCAGATTGAAATCAGATGTAGGCAACCTCCTCAATTTCAGCTGATTAAACACACGGGCTACACCAGGTAATTAGAGAGGCATGTGTTGGGGGGTTGGACAGAGGAGACAGGATGGGGACTTCTTTTATTTTTAAAGTGTTTTCAAAGATGGGAACAATTTTACAAATAAAAAAAAATGGAATTATGCCAAATATAGAAACAGATGTTTTGGATCATGAAGCTGCTGGGAATTGAGCCTTCGTGTCTTTGTATGGCCGGATTCTGACCCAGGATTCAAGGGCTCTTGCTAATTTTACCTCTATCCCCATTCCCAAGTCGTTGGATCAGATTCATTTACCACCCACAGCTGGGAAAAAACAACCTTCAGCGGGAGGAAGGTACAACAAAGAGCAATTCAAATGACCTGGTGGGGAAAAACACAAACAAACGATGTATTTTTATTCCTCTTGACATTGCACTGCAATGAATGTGTAGGGAACTTTAGCATAAGTATTCAACTAAAAAAAAAAAATCCAAATTGCACATTCCTTTTAAAAAGCTCATTAGAAAACAGACAAAGCAATTTCTATGAATATATTTCTCTTGGGTGGTTCTTCTGAATTTCCTGTCAACTAGTCCATACCTGCAAGACTGAGTGACCAGTGACACTCGGCCCCTCATTGTCATGCTTCTGGGAACAGGGAAATGTACAGAATCTTATGAGGACTGTCATCTGAATAATTTTACATTTCTAAGCTTTCTGCTGTTCACAAAAGTGGAAACTAGAAATTGGGTATAATCCCCATAAATTGTGTACAGCCATAAAGGGCAGGAATACAGTGGTCAATGACTTAATCCAATTTTACATTTTTTTCCTTCAATTTGTGCTTGTTATATTCAGGCTAGTATTTCCCGATACTTGCTCTATTTGTTTGTTTGTTACCTGTTTTATTATTTTTTAAATAACGGAGCTTCCTTTCAGTCCCTGCAGGACTGATGCTGGTGACTCAATTACCACAATAGTGTGGAAGGCTCGGGAATAGCATTGCATAGCAAATTCCATTCCCAAATCTAATGGCACTTTATAGTCTTCCCTTATTTGTGACCATATAGTCCCTTTTCAGCATAAAGGATTTTTATTCCCTATCTGAAAAGTGGGAATTAGTTCACTGACCAAAATTGGGCTGAGTCAGTTGAAGAACATGGGGCTGAACACCATGCTCCCCTTTGCTAAATGTACTAATACTACATGGAAAATGGGAATGATGGAACGGAGCTTTCGAATGCCAAAGCTGTATGTCAAAGACTATTAATACTTTGTTTCATATCAGCATTTCTCTTCATTCCTATGATCAAAATTATTTCTTTCATCTTGTTATTTTAGATAGAGAATGGACATTCTGCCCTACTGGCAAAATAATACCTTTTCTGGTTCCTATGGTTAAAAATTCCTTTCCAAGCAACAAAACACTTTCTCCTGAATTACTTTATGTTTCTACAGTTCTTACATACCTATAATTCTCCAGAAAAGAAAATAAAAAAAAACCTCTCACATGCAAAGAATGCTCAATGAATTTAGTAGAATGTTTATAATTAAAATTCCTCAAATTAAAAGAACTCTATGCAAGGTAGCACAACCTACATTCACACTAAAGATCGCATCTTACGTTGCACTCAACAATTTAAAACCATTTTAAAATACATGTTGCAGCGTAGGAAACTGAGACTCAAAGAATAAACAACTTTTGAGTAGATGACTTATGTAAAATCACGCAGATAAGAAAGTACATCGCCAACGTTTGATTCACCCAGGTCTTAGGAATGCAAACCAAGTACTTCTGAGAATGTCACACTCTGTCCATTTCAGCTCTTTCCTAGAACCTGTTTTGGCAGGAATAAGGTTGCGTGGTGGGGTGGGGGGGGGAGGGTTGCTCAACTCCTGAGAGTGGACAGAGGTTGGGCCAGGAATCTGGAGCACCGAAGACAAGGTATCATGATGTGTACTGGAAGTGGCTTCCAATTTTGAGTGGCTTCAGAGTCAGCCTGTCCTGGGTTTCTTCTCCAACAGGCATTGACTTACTTCCCCTTACACTTACTTCCCCTTACCCTGTTCTCCATCCTCATTGTCCTTAGACTTTCTGAAGACTCACCACAACTCACTATTTCTCTACCCCTCCTTTTTCAACTCCCCTTGTTGAAATTCCCTCTAATTTTGGTTTCCAATATACGAACATTCTGATTCTTCTACTGCAACTTCTTCAGTTTGTTCCTTTTCCTCTAAATATCTGGCGAGGGGGAAGCTGGCATAAAGGAAAGAAGCGAAGCTTCTCTTCCCACCCGCTC